AAAATTTGACGTGTTTTAGTGATAATAAGAAATTTATTGATTTAATTAAATCTTTTAAATGACATTAATTAAAGACGGAATTTGGTTTAATATTTAATTTGATCATAATAACAATTAAGATTGTAAAAAACCCCAATATGACGGTCTTTACACAACCAATTTTGAGAAAAATATGAATAATTATTTTCAGATTGAAGAAAATATGGGGCCGTTGCAGTAGAAAGGGCCGAAACTCGGAAATATATAATTTTGAGAAAATCGTGTTTGTTTTGTTCGGACTGATCCGGGTCAATCAAAAATTCAGAGATTTGATTGGTTAGCTATATCGGATAATCTCGTGATGTACGAATCTGCTAAAAAGTTTTTTATATTTATTTCAATTTTTTATTAAGCAAATCAGTTTCCCTTCATAATCAAAAAATGTAGCCCATCTCGAAATTTATTCGAATCTTACAAAAATTCAATTTTGATTTCCGGGGGAGTTTGGGCCCTTTCTACTGCAACGGCCCCATATAATGAGTGCGCAAGAGAACATTATTAAATATAAAGTTATTTTGCAAAACAATATTTTTAAAAAATAATATCTTGACGTTTAATATAGAGATTGTAACCGTCAAAAAAATTTCTACTCGGGTATTATTAAATTACCCGATTATCTGGGTAATTTATTATACAATATAATAAAAATGTCTACTCGGGTACAATCTCTAGTTTAATGTATGGTTTTTATAACGATAAAGGTTGTAATTCATGTAAATTGCATATTACATAATTTCATAATAACTGTACAATTGATAAATTTAATATATATTATCATATTATATAATCTTTTTTTTTATGTAACACGGGATATTTTAAAAACTCGATGAATATTTGAATATTCGGTCAAAATTTTCACCGATTTTCGAAAATCTTTTAATCAACCGATGTTCGGCATTAATCGATTCCAATCTCTAGTAATAGCAATAGCTGATACCTGATCTCATTTATTTTATTCTGACGCGACGATTTTTTCTTCTTTCTCATTCGTTTGCATTTGCTACTCATTTGACAAAAAATAAAAGCTGATCTTTAGTGTTAATAATATAAATAAAAAGAAAACATGATGAACAAATGATTACAACTCGCTCTCGTTATAGTGAGATCCTCAGACTGAGAAAAAAATTTTCATAATAGCTTATATAGGGAGAATACTATAAACCGTCAACAAACTTATAAAGAACCACTGGTTCTGTACGTAAGAAAAAATTCGGTATATAAAATTATTATGTTTTTCTTAAGAACTATAACTCTTTATACTGACTAATAGAAAATTTAAAAGTTTTTATTACATTACATCCAGAATTCATTATAGAGATGTTCGCTACAAAGAAGGTTGACTTTATATCTAGTTTATTAATTCCGTAATTCAAAATTCTTCACCATCTCTATTATTTAATCGTGAATATATTTTAGAATTTTACAATCTTATTAATTATTTTATTTATTTGTGTTAATTTATTTATGCCATTTACTGCGCCGATACCCATTGTTTAAAGCATTTTATGATTATTTAATCGTTACGTCGTATTTATATTTTAAATGCTATAATATGCATATAATTCTGTAGTGATTTGTTTTTAGCCAATTAGATTTAGTGTATTGTGAATCAAGTATTTTCCACTCTGGTTGCAATACGTATGTGAACCAATTACATCTGAAGATATAGATAAGTAAACATTGTGCAATGTCTTTAATAAATTTAATACTTCTACATATATTATTGTACATTCTTGTGTCGAAATATCAATTTACAATAAACGATACCAGGAACGGAGTGAAACGAAGTGTATGACTTATTCGAAAAAGAAATTATGTACGTACGTACGTACGTACATAATTTCTTTTTCGAATAAGTCATACACTTCGTTTCACTCCGTTCCTGGTATCGTTTATTGTAAATTGATATTTCGACACAAGAATGTACAATAATATATGTAGAAGTATTAAATTTATTAAAGACATTGCACAATGTTTACTTATCTATATCTTCAGATGTAATTGGTTCACATACGTATTGCAACCAGAGTGGAAAATACTTGATTCACAATACACTAAATCTAATTGGCTAAAAACAAATCACTACAGAATTATATGCATATTATAGCATTTAAAATATAAATACGACGTAACGATTAAATAATCATAAAATGCTTTAAACAATGGGTATCGGCGCAGTAAATGGCATAAATAAATTAACACAAATAAATAAAATAATTAATAAGATTGTAAAATTCTAAAATATATTCACGATTAAATAATAGAGATGGTGAAGAATTTTGAATTACGGAATTAATAAACTAGATATAAAGTCAACCTTCTTTGTAGCGAACATCTCTATAATGAATTCTGGATGTAATGTAATAAAAACTTTTAAATTTTCTATTAGTCAGTATAAAGAGTTATAGTTCTTAAGAAAAACATAATAATTTTATATACCGAATTTTTTCTTACGTACAGAACCAGTGGTTCTTTATAAGTTTGTTGACGGTTTATAGTATTCTCCCTATATAAGCTATTATGAAAATTTTTTTCTCAGTCTGAGGATCTCACTATAACGAGAGCGAGTTGTAATCATTTGTTCATCATGTTTTCTTTTTATTTATATTATTAACACTAAAGATCAGCTTTTATTTTTTGTCAAATGAGTAGCAAATGCAAACGAATGAGAAAGAAGAAAAAATCGTCGCGTCAGAATAAAATAAATGAGATCAGGTATCAGCTATTGCTATTACTAGAGATTGGAATCGATTAATGCCGAACATCGGTTGATTAAAAGATTTTCGAAAATCGGTGAAAATTTTGACCGAATATTCAAATATTCATCGAGTTTTTAAAATATCCCGTGTTACATAAAAAAAAAGATTATATAATATGATAATATATATTAAATTTATCAATTGTACAGTTATTATGAAATTATGTAATATGCAATTTACATGAATTACAACCTTTATCGTTATAAAAACCATACATTAAACTAGAGATTGTACCCGAGTAGACATTTTTATTATATTGTATAATAAATTACCCAGATAATCGGGTAATTTAATAATACCCGAGTAGAAATTTTTTTGACGGTTACAATCTCTATATTAAACGTCAAGATATTATTTTTTAAAAATATTGTTTTGCAAAATAACTTTATATTTAATAATGTTCTCTTGCGCACTCATTATATGGGGCCGTTGCAGTAGAAAGGGCCCAAACTCCCCCGGAAATCAAAATTGAATTTTTGTAAGATTCGAATAAATTTCGAGATGGGCTACATTTTTTGATTATGAAGGGAAACTGATTTGCTTAATAAAAAATTGAAATAAATATAAAAAACTTTTTAGCAGATTCGTACATCACGAGATTATCCGATATAGCTAACCAATCAAATCTCTGAATTTTTGATTGACCCGGATCAGTCCGAACAAAACAAACACGATTTTCTCAAAATTATATATTTCCGAGTTTCGGCCCTTTCTACTGCAACGGCCCCATATTTTCTTCAATCTGAAAATAATTATTCATATTTTTCTCAAAATTGGTTGTGTAAAGACCGTCATATTGGGGTTTTTTACAATCTTAATTGTTATTATGATCAAATTAAATATTAAACCAAATTCCGTCTTTAATTAATGTCATTTAAAAGATTTAATTAAATCAATAAATTTCTTATTATCACTAAAACACGTCAAATTTTAATTTGACTGATGCTCAATGAATAAAAGCTTATTCCGATGCTCGAAATTTTCGATCGATGATTGGATAATTATTCAACGATTCCACCCACTAGATATTACATATCGTATGTACGTAGTACGCACGCATTACATTTGGGGTCTTTGCTATGAATTTTTTTTTCTAAAAATAGATTTACAATGTTTTTCTTAATAAAAATCTTGTGTACCAATGCTTCGGAGGGTCATTTTAATAGCAAAGATCCCATTTATTAAGGTATATAGTAAGTCAATATAGTACGGTAGTATAAGATAGTACGTACGGTGCTACGCCCAAAATTGGGAGTGCGATATTGTGTGCTACAAATTAGCAAATTATACGGAGTACTTTATTAGATGCTGCGCGAAAAACAGTTATTACCCTCTTCTAAAGAACGACACTTATGTCTATAAGCTCAATTACATATTATGAGGTAAGAGAATCAAAGAAGAAAATGTAGTAATAGAGAATTACTAACATAATAATAAAGTAATTATTACCTGTAATGAGGCAATAACTTTGACATACAATTTACAAAATACGTATAAAATAATAAATAAATACTAAAAATGGTATTGTTAATGACAAAATAAGCATATGAAAAATTTTGCGTAACAACGGTTATTAAAAAAAGAAAGAAATATTATACTAGACGTACGATTGCATGATCGATATTTCAATTCAAATATTAACAGGAGAAACCGTCGATGTTACACGGTATGCTGCACCCTTATATGTAATCAATTTCATTTTTCGGACCTTATACCTGATATGTAATTTCCCCTAAAAAAAATATATATACATATACAACAACTGCTATAAATTTGTAAATGAATAACAAAATATTACATTATTCTTTTATTCTTGTAAAATTTATTGGTTCTTGTCATAAATTTAATATAACATATAAGCACGCTCTGCAGATTTAATGGCTGAACGAATAAGCATTGTCACAAATTTAATATAACATATAAGCACGCTCTGCAGATTTTAATGGCTGAACGAATAAGCATGAAAAGAGTTGAAAAGAGAGCCGTATAATTTTACGATAATTTATTTTTGGATTTAGAAATAACCCTTATTTCAAAATAACACACAGGCATGCTCGAAGTAACACGCAGGACAATTAATTAACAGTATGTATTCATGTAATAGATTCCAATTATTCGAATTTTTTTTATATAAACGTAAAGCGCCCAAACCATTTTTTTGTCTTAAACACTTCCAAATTTTTTTATCATAATTTAATCAATATGAATCGTCAAACTTTTAATTCTTTTTTATTTGTTCTTTTATCGATTTTACTTGCATTAACTATTACTGTTAGTGCCCGTATTAATATACCTATTAACAAACATGCTAATAAACATGATAATAAACATACGCCTACAAAAACTAAATGCTCAACACCAACACCAAAACCGACATGTTGTCAATCACGTGGTAGTCCAGGGTGGAATGACAAATTTCATCTAGCTAGTGGTGGTGGAATTGATTATACTAATATTACTACCGCGCAAGATTGCTGTAACGCATGTATAGCGGATCCGAATTGTTTTCAATGGTATTTTGTTTCTGGTGTTAGATGTCTCATAGACAACCGTGATGCTTGTTCACACGTAACCATAACGCCAAGCGGAGACATAACGCCAAGCGGAGGTGTTGCAGAAGGTGGTATTATTCGTTGTAGTGATGGTAGTGGCAGTGAGTGTATACCTTAATTTTATAAATTTATGTTAGTTATTCGTAGTAAAGTAAGATTTACATGTATTAAAACTACAAATTGAGAGAATTTAAAAATTAGATCCACTTATTTGAGTATTTAATTGTTATTATTTTTCTTTTTTTCATGATTTATAAAAAATTTATTTTTGAGTTCATTGTTTTTTATTTAATTACGGATTTGATTTAAAGTCAATAAATAATTTAAATATTACTTAAAAATTTATCAGAATTATAGTTTCAATAAATATTTAAATTTTTTATCTATTAGTTAACTCTTAATTATAACCAGCACATGATCATATGAGTTTTAAATAACTATTAATTAGATATAGTAAGCAGTATAATAAAAATAAGACATTGCCAATAATGTCTGTAATAACCTTAAATTTATCGACTTGATTAAGCTAATACTTAAAAATTGGCTTAACTAATCATACCTTTATACCCAAGTCGATTGCTTGTAATATTCCTACTAATTTAATCACTTGGCCTTGCTTTACAGCTATTTTCATAATTTTTGGAACACCTGATAAAAATTGAACGAATGATTTTTCGGTCAATCCGGTTAAGTTATTGATTTCGGCATGATCGGGCACGTATGTAAATTACTGTACGTTACATACATATAGATTACATTGTAATTAGATATATATATATAAGGTAGCTGCGCGACGCTGTCACGCGAAACCAGGAACGGGGAAGCATCTAGATATTAAGTGGTTTAAAAATTTAGGTTAGAATTATAAGTAGTCAAACTTGGATGTAATAAAAAAAAAGTGCTTAAGAATGTGGCATAGGAGTTTTGGTCAGTGTTTGTAGAGATTGGCCTTATAAAAATAATATTGGAGTTTAGATGTGGTTTTTTTTATTTTATTTTATCTTTTGGACATTTAAATATATTAATTAAGTTCAATACTAACGCTTTTCTATAGTCTTTATATTATGTATTGTAGGGCATGTGATTACGATCATGGTAATTTCGATTGATTGACGTAGAGGTATTAGTATAACAATGGTAGTAATGACGAAATTGATCAAAGCTTTATCAGTTGTTATTTTATATAAAAGGGGTCTGGTCGACTAATTAATACTTTTTCTCTTTTATATTTACTAAAGACGATAATACCAATAATGTGAAATTACAAGATAATGGACTTTTACGATTTCTTATTTATAAAGACTTTGATTTTAAAAGGGGTATAACTACTGGAGGTAACATTTCTAAAGCAACAACTAAGTTAATTTTTTGAAGGTAAATTTTTAATGTGCGTGCTACATATGGGATAATAATAATAATAAGGTAATAGCTAATTAAGTATCAGGCCAAATTTTTAACTGAGCAGTTCTTTGAGCACATTCTTCAATACGTGCAAATTCTGCACGAAGTGCAGAAGATAATCAAGTACTTAATATGGCCTCATCAAAAAGTTGTAAAATTAATAAATCATCTAGTTTTTGCGATCTAGAAAGCATTATATATGCGCTATTGTTTGCATGCTTTCCTGACAAATCAACAATTGTTTTGTCAAGAGTACGTCCTTGCGACTTAAAGTCTGTGAATACAAATGCAGGTGTTATGGGAAGTTGAAAACGCTGAAACTTTCTACGAATTTTGGACCCATCACGCTTCCAAAATGTGTATACATACAGACGTTTAATGGGATAAATTGGGACATAATTAGAGGGAAGTGTTTCATAAGTTCCAGATGACTTGCCGATTAGTTCAACAATTGCATATTTTGGTGGATTTTTTAATATTATCCCTTAAATTGTAATACAGGCAAATTTGCCTGCATTTATTTTTTTAAACTTTATTTTTTTAATAAAATCTTAA